AGATAGAAATAGCATGGTCGGCCATGCCCATCAGCAAGAATGCTGAAGTCCATGTGGGATGAGGATACGACAAAGATCCGCAAATGGGCAAAGTGGTCCAGCTTTAGAAGAAATGCTTCATCTACACTGAATGGGTGCAGGGAGATAAAGCTAATGGCACAACCGTCCACGTGGGCATTCACTCCAGCAAGGTGGGTATCATCAAAGACATCCTTGAATGGAAAGGATTTCCTACGTGGCAAATCTCACCACGTGGGAAGGGAAAAGAACAAAGATAAGGAAGAACCAATTGAGAAGCTAACAAGGGTCAAATAATGTTGCAAACAATTTCCATGGAAACAAGAAAAGTTGAAAAGAAAAAGGAGTCAAGATATAAGTGCATATTTGGATTTAAGATTATGAATTTTTTCCCACAAACATTGAAGCTTTCGTGTGTATACATACAAAGTTGTTAGTAGACACCACTTCCCAATTTACTAAGAACTTTTAAATATGCAAGTATGTACATGTTTTTGTTTTTAATATATGTTCATATGTTTAAATTTTTGTACACATTTGTTATCTTATTCTGCATATAACCTTCAAAAATTCCATTATCTTTTGGTTCCATTTTTTCATAGCTTTTTAAACCCTCCCTTAACACACACACATACACACACACACACACACACACACTAATCATACTATAGCTATGAAACCATAGAAATGTTTATGAAACAGAAGAATCAAATTGTGAGGCTGTGTTTTGGACAGGCCCTCCATTAAGTCAACACTACTCTGCAGCTGGTGTTTCCCTCTCATTCTTCCCTCAAAGAACTCCGAGCCCGTCAATTAACCCCGCAGACCAAAATGGCTTTCTAACATCCGGGGCACGCAAATAATCTTCCCTTGATTTTTTTGGTTTCTTCATCATTGGCACTAAAAGGAGTCTGAAGGGGCTGCAGAGTGAATGAAATTGTCTTGAGACAATGATAGAGAGATGCAGTGCCATTGTGGATCAAAAATTCCTTGGCACAGCTTTCCTAGACTTTTCCCATCGATGAATTTTCTGAAAATTTCTTAATAATAAGCTCCATCCATGATGGTCCTGTCTCCTTTGACAAGATGATCCCTCTGGAATCCAAAAAAAGACCGTCACCATAACCTTGTGAGCTGACGTCTCAGGTTAAAACTTCAGTGGCCTAGCAGTACCCCAGCAAGCCACGGATGCAAATAGATCTGTTTGAAACCAGACCACGACAACTGCAGTTCTGAAAGAACGTGTCTCCGCTGCCCACTGATAGCCCCACACATTGTTTGGAGGGAGTCTGGTCGTGTGTGGACTGGACCTCTACAAACAGCACTTTTTGACTATGCTCATCCGAGGGGCATTAAAAAAGTTTCCCAGGAAATGGTCCTGAAAGATAGTGGAATATTTCCATAAACCTTTTGATGCTCTCTCATATATACTTACTGAAAGTGTAGCTACCTACCTTTGAGTAAGTGAAAGTATAAAACAAACAAACAAAAAACCAAAATGAATTCTGTCAAGTCTCCTCTGATTCATAGCAACCCTATGAGTGGAACTGATGCAAGGGCAGTAGCTTGTTAATACATCTTTTGAGTGAAAGCATCCGGCAACAAAATCCATAGTGCAATGGGACTTGTTGCTCCTTACGTCCCATTCGAGGTCGATTGTCACAGCAAAATGAAAACAGTCACCTTGAAAAGTCTAATCAAGCAAATGGCCTAATGGAAATTCTTTTCTTGATATACTCTATCATTTACTTATTGACATGTTTATCTATATTTATAAACTTTTCTATTCCAGCCTACATTATTTTTTGGAAGAACTTCTGAAAGAACATTCTGTCAGCGAGAATCCATTACAACCTCTGGAACGAAAGAGCACAGGAAGTACGTCCAGGCCAACGTCCCTACTCAGTCTTTCCAAAGATAAAGGCTGCAAACGAAGGTCATACGGTTCATCGTCACGTCACGTAGTGAGTATGGACAATTTGCGGTAGCCTTTTCACAGTAATGATAGTAGGAGTCATAGTAATACATATCTAATGCAATCACAAAAATAACGTTTTAAAATTGCTTGCCTTTCTCTAACCCCAGTCAGAGAACAAAACAAGCCTTCTTGGTATTTAAGAGAAGAGTCTGTGAGGAAGAAGCGTTTCATGCTCTTCCGAACGTGTCTAGGAAATCATTGCATCTGTTACAGCCAGCTTCAGACTCAGATGTCACCTTACCCTGACTTTCATAAGCTTTGCCTATAACAGCATTTGCTTCAATCAGCATATCATTTCTCACAATCGTTAAAAGCAAACATCAATGAAACGTTATGAAGGTCCAGTTTAAGAAATTATGATTCTCTGAACCAGTGGTTCTCAACCTTCCTAATGCCGTGACCCTTTAATACAGTTCCTCATGTTGTGGCGACCCCCAACCATAAAATGATTTTCATTGCTACTTCATCACTGTAATTTCGCTACTGTTATGAATTGGGTGACCCCTGTGAAAGGGTCGTTGGACTCCCCCAAAGGGGTGGGGACCCACAGGTTGAGAACCACTGCTCTAAACATAGCTCCTCATTAATTATTACAGTGACACAAAGTATCTTTTTTTACACATGATGTTTAAAATGTAACTATATGAAGTTTTGGAAAACGAAATTGAATAAAATAAGTAAATAACAAGGTTCTCTTTTTCAGAGTAACATCAGCATTAAAAACAGTGTTAACTTATAATCAGCCCCCCTTTTTAAATAAAAATAAGGAAAAATTAGGAATGTAAAAAATACATTTTTAGTGGCTATCTTCATAAACCAAGTTCACGGAACAGAAGGGTACACAAAATGAAATTGTGGGAAATTCCAAAGGAATTGAATTTGGAGAATTCAATTAAGGTGATTTACTAGTAATAAAGTGTTAACATTTTCAAGGGAGTTATCCAAATTCAATCATCTGCCACCAGAGGAAACAACACAGATAAGAGCAATTTCACAGGCTACCAAGAACCTGCAGCAACTCTTTAGACAGTGAAGAAGCTTTCAGTAAAGTCAAAAAACGTGCTCCTGCTGCTGAGAGTGTGTACTTGTATTACACACTGGCATACAAGAGTATGTCCTTATATAAAATAATCTCCTACGGTAGGCTATCTTACACGTCCATTGCTAAGTGATTCTTTGTGGCAGCCAGTTTCTTTACAATCAAGTGTATAATCTTGCAAATTATCATTAGATGATTTGGACTACGGGTGCAGTTTTAAAGTAGAGTAATGCTGAGCTACTAAATTATGATCATCAATAATTTTTTTGTTGATCCAAGTGGGGGGGTATTTATACATTAACTACCCTTACATGTCTCCTTAGCCATGCAACATTTCTTAGGCACATTTGTTCATTAATTTAATGTGACAGGCTAAATAGAAGTCATTTTTATGCAAATCAAAATGGAAACTGCTTCTAGAAAACTATCTGCCTTTATTTCTCTTCATTTTTCATCTATACCAACACACAAGCACACAGAAAAGCAAATTACAATTTTTCTACTGAAAATAAGAGAGCATACAGAGATGGCAGGAGTGTCAATCAGATACTGTTTAATGTCTATAGTTTTTCTCTTTAACGAGCCCAAGATGAAATCCAACTTCAATTTCCTTGCCCTAGAAAGGCAATTCATTCAAGCTTGAATAAGCTAAAAAGATATTTAAAGAAATTATGACTAAGTACTTAAAAATAAAGTGCTAGATATATACATCCTAATCAAAGTCTAAATTCAATCTATATTCAGAAATGAATTAAAGTGAGCATATTTTATAGGCCTTTCCATTCTATTTTTAGCCTGAGAACCACAAGAATCACTTGAATTCTCATTACACAAGCAATGATCATGAGAACCTCAAATAACTTGTCACCCTGGGGAATGTCAAAAGGACAATGAGTCTAGCCGGTCACAAAGGCCTAGCTGAAATCTTATCACCATGTCTGCACAACACCAGCATTATTATTGAATTAAAACCTTTATTCACTAAAGGAATTTAAAATGATCCACACTTCAAATGTAGAGCTTATCCAAAGTAATCATATGCATGAAACTACAGATGTGATTTGTAATTATATTTTTCTCATACAGTACATTATTTCTTTAAAATCACATGCCACCATTGGTACAGGTAGCACATTTCATGAAAATCAACTGAGTATAGTTTTTCAACCTGATTTTTCCTTTTAAAACTGATGAACTTATTCTAGAGTCAGGTTTTAAAGCACAGACAAATGTTTAATTTAATGTCATGCTAGCTACTTATCTACAGCGGAGCAGCATTTAAACTTTAAAGACAAGTCAGCAAAGGCAACCAAGTGGATGTGTTAAATCTGAATCACTCTGCCTCCGTTTCATATTTTTATGAGATTTGGGAAAGTTGTAACTATACCACATGAAGATGTGTATATAAACTATTTGGATCCTATCTGTGAATATCAATGGTCCATGTGGTTTCTTTAGCTTAAGAAATAAAAGTGTGCTTTCAAGCTGGTAGTGATTAACTTCTTGTGTTTTACAGAAAAATAACTCTATTCTGAGCTCTTATTTTAACTTGAATCATTCTTCCCTAAATCAGTACATTCCATTTTTTTTTTTGCAATAAACATTTCACCTGCCTGTGTCCCATTAAAGTCTATTGTTCCCGAAGACAAAGGAAATAACCATTAAACTCAGAGAGCTAAAAGGAAAAATGAGCTCATCACAATTTAAATTTGATTCAAATATCACTGTCCTCATGCATTCAAACTACCCAGGCTTCACCTATACATATGAAACTCTGTAAAGCTCCTGGAGGTCAATATTAACTTTCTTCATAAGAATTAGGAATGAGTTTAAAACATGTAAATTCATTGTGAAATCTGGTGATTAACAACACGAGGTGAAATGCTTAACCAAGCTATTTAATAAATTCACGTAATCAAGTTCACAACATATAACAAATTATAAGAAGGAAACATGGATTCTAACCACTTTGTCCTCCTTTGGGAATGCATCCAAGGAAGCAGAGTAAGGAGAGAAGAGAAAGAAAAGAAAAACAAAAATAAGGCATACATTAGTAAATGCATCTTAAGGAAAAAATCCATTTTTTCAGTGTTAAAACATTTTTGAAAAATAGTTCTCTACTCTTCCTAAAATATAAGCCATTTTTCAATGCAGCAATGAAACTGCACATCTAGGCTCCAGGCATATATTTAGTATCAGTGTTGCTCACGATTTTCTCAATTTTTAGGAGTCATTAGCTCTACCTGTAGATTATTCAGAAAGAAAGATTAATTCACTACCACACTGCCATAGGTAGTCTACCTATCATTGAAAACAAATTTATCATACAAGCATAAAATATAAATAATTTTATAAGTTTTATGCTAAAATGTTATAGTCACACTTTGGAAACATTTAAGAATGGGACATGTTTGTAATAAATAAAAGTGGGAACAGAAATATGTTAATTATTTCAGTTATGAATTATTCCACAAGTTATATTTATTTGTAATATACATTTCAATATTTACAATGCCGTAAGGAAAACCAACTTTATAACACCTTGTGTTTTCCAAGGCTAAGAATTTTAAGCTGTGCTTTCTTGGTGTGTGTTCCTTTACATATTCTTTTTTTCCAAGATTGGATGGACTTCATAAAAATGGAGAAACTATTCTCCAAAATGCCCTAGCTCCATTTTTTAAAACAATCTATCATTGTAACCTATCAATAGTTACCTGTATTGCTATTGACTGGCCTCACATCTGTAACGGGAATAGTTGCAGGCAACAGCTACGGGCTACAAGCCTGCACTAACACTCAGCCAACTTGTGCCCAGGGTTAGCTGCCAGTACCTTTTCAGATCAGCCAGAGTCCTTCCCACATGGGTCCTTAAATATCCTGGATAGCATCACTAGGTCCCACCCATGAGCACATATGAACAGTAAAAAATGGGAAACTAACAAATAGTCTTATTCACTCTCTGTGCAAGACAGTATTTTGATACCCATGCTTGTTCTAGAAAGAATTTAAGTAGACATTTATGGGTTAACTAGAATAAATAATGTTTATGCGGGATAGGGAGTATTGGTGGTGCAATGGTTAAGTGCTTATCTGCTAATTGAAAGGTCAGTAGTTCAAACCCACCCAGCTACTCTATGGCAGGAAAGACCTGGCAGGATTATGGTCTAGGAAAACATATGGGGCCACTCTCCTCCAGTCCACAGGGGTCTATCCGATGGACTCCCTAGCACATGATTTTAGGTATGTATAATAAATAATGTTTACAAGGAAAATTACAACGTAATTGAAACTATTCAGTTTCGCAGAAAAAGAAATTGTTCACAGAGTTTAATAATCTTCCCAAGGCCACAGAATTAATTGTATCTCACCTTGAAGTATAACATGCATCTATTCTACTCAGCGTTTTAATTCCATGGAACACAAGTTTAGAATATGTTACTTACAACTCTGAAAGACCACAAAAAATGCAACATTGGTTGGAATATGTTTTGATTTTTACTGCAATTTTCCAAAATACGAAAATATCTAGAAAGCTATTTGTGTTCAGGCAATTTTAAAATACAAATTTATAGCTTACACATGATTAGAAAATATGAGAATTTCTTTAATGAAAGAGCAGGAATTTTTTAGGTATATGGGAATTTTAATTTTTAATCTTGTAGTGCAGATCTATATCTAATAAAAATCTCTAAATCATTTGACTATGCCACCATAGGGAATTGAAGCCCTGGTGGTGTACTGGTTAAGAGCAGGGCTGCTAACCACAAGGTGAGCAGTTCAAAACCACCAGCCACTCTTGGAGAAAAAGCCAGGACTTTCTATTCCCATAAAGGGCTGTGACTTAGAAACTCAGAGGCATTCTACCCTGTCCTGTAGGCTTGCTGAGTCGGCACTGACTTCATAGCAGTGACTGGTTTGGGTTTTAACCACAGGGAATAAAATTCAGTGTAACATTAAAATCTATTACAAATTATGTATTTTAATAATTAATACTTCATAAATGATAATAGTGGATCCTACTATAAGTCTTTATACCTTAACTTGCCATATATATGAGAGGAGTTTAAAAAGTTTGTGGAAAAATGGAATTAAAAGATAAAATTTATCCATAAATTTTTTAAGCTCCCTTAAATATAAAGCATTTTCATAATGGAGAAGTAGCTTTTCAGGTGAGAATAAATACCATAGAAAGGAAAACGAGAAATGTTAAAAGCAAAACAGCAACAAAGAAAACATAATTTATATTTTTGCATATACTTAACACGGTATTTTTAACATAATGTCAAGTATGAAACTGTTCATTAAGACAAATTGTTGTTTTCTATATTATCTGGGATTAAATGTAATTTCACAGTTTACTCTGCATTTTACTTTCATCCAGTCTGAAACAAATGTTGTAGAAAATAAAAGGCACCCCAGCCATACACACACACACACACACACACACACACTCTCTCTCTCTCTCTCTCTCTCTCTCCCCACACCCAGCACCCTCTCAGGGTGAGGGGGCAATAATTGGTCAAGATAATTTTCAAGATTTTATAATTCATGATTCTAAATTCGTATTTGCTACATTAGAAGATATAGTAAATTATTCGTACAGGTGATCTAGTGTTGGTTTTGAAAGGGAATCATTTAAGCCGTGCCTGTACTGGATTATTTTCATTACCGATACACTGCGAGGCCTTCTTGGAAATAAAATGGAAAGAACGAACAACGGGGGCGCAATTTAATGCGTATCTCGATGCACGTAACTGCTTGCTACCGCGGATGCCCATGTTCATACTTGGAAGGCGCTAAGGTTTGGCTGGCCCTGAAGCATCACTCACGTTGTTGGAGCGCAGCGACACGCGGCCTCCGCAGCGGGCGCAGAACTTCGTGCGGCAGTAGGAGCAGAGGTGGCCACAGCCATCCGCAAACTTTGTTTTGTGGCAGATTCCACACGTTGGTGCATCGTCTTTGTGCTCTCCCTGGTAACGCCGTGCTTCCTCTCCTATTTTCCGCACCTGTTCCTTATAGCTTTCAAATTGTTGATGCAATCTCCTGGGCAAAAGAGAAGGGGAGAGCGCACTAAGGAAATGCTGGAAGGCACACAGCACGAAGCGAAAGGCCAACTACTACGCTAACAGAAGGGAAAGGTTGCTATCTGGACCAACGCAGATTTAAAAAGCCATTTCCTCCACGAATCCTACCCCCAAAGGTAAGAAATGTATCAGCACATTTTCCACTAGTCCCAGCTTTGCTTAACATTCCAGAACTCCAATTGCACCGCTTTTGAGCCCAGTACGCCTCAGCAATGCTATAGAGCAGGACAGAATTGCCCCCGTGGGTTCCCGAAACTGTAACTCTTTATGTCAAGTCTACTCTTTCTCCTGCCAAGGGGCTGGTGGTTTAAAACAGCTGATCTTGAAATCAGAAGCACAATCCGTAACCACTGGCCACCTGGGATCCTTTTATTAGCATTAGATCATATATATAAATAGACCCTGTATGATCACCACTTGTCCTAAGTGGTGGAATTCAGGGATCCACTCCATCTTCTGCATGGCTTTCAGAATATTTTACCTGGGAACTCAACACCTTATAACTGGACTTGTGTGTATATAACTCGAACAAAAGTTATACAAAATACTAAGGCTAACTCCATAGATGATGAACTATGACACTTACTAGGCTATCCCAGATAATTCATAAACATTTGTCACCATATATTGATTTTATGAGCAACTCACTAAGTGAACGATAATCCATGCTTTAAAAAATACCATTTTAAAGTATATTGCTTGACAAATTCCCTACCACAATGGGTTCTCTTCCCCTCAGTAGTCCTTCTGTATCACATCAAATGTTCTAAATTATATTTTGAAAATATTAGGGCTTTTACATACCCCACTTTATCTTAATCTTACAGTCATACGTATAAAAGTTGTTAGCGTGGTATAGTGATAATTATTGGTTATCATTTCTCAGTTTGTCACACTGTGGTGGTTCGGTGTTGTGGTGGTGCTAAAAGCTATGCCACCAGTATTCCCAATACCAGTGGGTCACTCTTGTTGGACAGGTGTCAGCAGAGCTTCCAGACGAAGAATAAATTAAGAAGTAAAAATATGAGAACCACTTCTGAAAAATTAGCTCCTGAAAATCTTATGAAAAGTAGGGGACTATTGTCTGATAAATTGCCAGAAGATGAACCTCTCGGGATGGAAGGCATTCAATATATTCCTGTGGAAGAGCTTCCTTCTGAAAGCACAATTGGATTTACTGACACGGATGGACAAACACTTGGGAACCTTCATTTACTGATGGGCACAAGTACACATGAGAAGAAACAGCTGCAAACATCCACTTCATCAGAAGGTAGAATGTACGAAGTAATCATTTAAGGAAATTGGTAGTCATTAAAAATGAAATGGAGAAGGAGAGAGAGTGGACACATCCTGGCCCACCAAGCCCCGAGGACAATATTTCTGCTCATTGCAGCCAATACCCAGAGAGGTCCATAGGGCTGGCACGACCATGAGACACAACAACCTTCATTGACCCAAAGCGCTACCAGGGACAACACTGGAGGCACAGTGCAGGAATTGTGCCTGATCTCACCCCACCACACCAGTGCAGAACCTAAGGGTGTGCAACAGATCAGCAAGGGGAGCAAAGCAATGAAGTACCAAGGAATACCAAAAATAGACTTTGGGGCCAGGGCTTGGCACCCCATCAGACTGGACTGGAAAACACCTCTAAAGGTCAACAAAAAGACCCGAAACTATTTATAGAATTTTCTGCTTTTTTTTGTCATTGGGTTTTGTTGTTGTTGCTGTTGTTTATTGTTGTTGTTCTTTAAAGTTTGTTTGGTTTTGTTCTGTCTTGTGCTTATTATTGTCTTTGCACATCTATCTAGATAAGATAGGTGGGATAAACAATCCAGAGGAGAAAACAAAGCATCAACAGTTCCAGTGGGACACAGGAGAGGGTGAGGCAGGGGAAATGAAAGGGGTTGCCAACAGACTGAGGAACAAGGGAACAATAAGTGATCTATAATTGATGGCAAAGAGGGCGTAGGATGCCTGGTAAGGCTTGATCAAGGGCAATGTAACTGAGAGGAATTACTGACACCCAAATGAAGGATGAGCATGATAGTGGGACAAGAGGAAAGTAAAAGGAAATAGAGGAAAGAACTAGGAGGAAAATGGGCATTTATAGAGGTCTAAATATAGGCATGTACATATGTAAATGATATGGAAATAGATAGGGAAATAGATCTATGTACATGTATGTACATCTATATAATGATAGGGAAATAGATGATATATAATGATAGGGAAATAGATCTATGTACATGTATATGATGATAGGGAAATAGATCTATGTACATGTATGTACATCTATGTAAATAGATCTATGTTAAGTATTAAGGTAGCAGACAGACATTGGGCCTCTACTCAAGTACTCCCTCAAAGCAAGAACATTTTGTTTGAATAATCCGTGTGATTATTCTGTGATGCTTACCGTCCTGACACGATCGCTGAAGACAAAATGGGTGCATAAGCAAAGGTGGTGAAGAAAACTGATGGTGCCCGGGTATCAAAAGAGATAGCATCTGGGATCTGAAAGGCTTGAAAATAAGCAAGCAGTCATCTAGCTGAGAAGCAACAAAGTCCACATAGAAGAAGCAAATCACCCTGTGTGATCATGAGGTATCCATGGGATCAGGTATCAGGCATCAAAGATTCAGAACAAAAATCATATCAATGTGAATGAGGGGGAGCATGGAGTGAAGACCCAAAGCCCATCTGTAGACAGTTGGACATCCCCTTACAGAAGAGTTACAAAGAAGAGACAAGCCAGTCAGGGCGCAATATAGCACCAACGAAACATAACTTTCCTCTAGTTCTTTAATGCTTCCTCCCCCCGCCCCCCACTATCATGACTCTACATTACAAATCTAGCTAGACCAGAGCATGTACATGGATACAGATAAGAACTGGAAACACAGGGAATCCAGGACAGATAAACCCCTCAGGACCAATAATGAGAGTAGCCATACCAGGAGGGTAAGGATATAGAGGCAACTGATCACAATGATCTACATATAACTCCCTCCCAGGGAGAGAGATAATAGAAAAGGGGGCGAAGGGGGACATTGGTCAGGGTAACACATGAAAAAATAATACAATTTATACATTATCAGAGGTTGATGAGGGAGGGAGGGTTAGGGGGGGAGGGGGAAAAATGGGGAGCTGATACCAAGGGTTCAAGTAGAAAGAAAATGTTTTGAAAATGATAATGGCAACATGCGTACAAATGTGCTTGACACAATGGATGGATGGATTTGTGTATGTATGAGCCCCCAATAAAATGATTAAAAAATGAAATAGAATGCATAATGATCAATTTCCTAGGCCACCTTTAATTGGACAATTCTATCATTTACTATATCAGGAATGACAAATTCAAAAGGAATGGCATCCCAATGATCATCAAAGTGAACATTTCATGATCTATCTTTCTGTGAATGCATAGTATCAATACACCTACAAGGAAGACGAGCTAACAGAGCTATTATTTAAATTATTTAAATTACTAAAGCCAATGATGAAGTAATTGATGAAATCTACAGTCTTCTGCCTGAAATTGAACAAACAAACATGCGGTCAAAATAAACCAATTATTTCTGACGATTGGAACGGAAAAGTTGAAAATTTTTAAAAAATGGATCACTGGCTAGGAAATATTGCCTTGGTGATAGAAACAAAGTGAGGGATCTACGATAGATATTTGCAAGACCAATGACTTCTTTTGTGCAAGTATCCTTGTCAGCAACTAAATGGCAACTACACAGACTAATCACGTGGACCTACCCACACAGAATCTACAGGAATCAAATTGAGGACTTCTGGGGGAGTGATTACAAAGAAACTCAAGATCATAAGCCAAAACGAGGCCTGGTCTATGGGACAGACTCTCACTTGGATTATGCAGCAGACGGTCAATTTCTCATATCCTATATCAGGTTAAAGCTAAAGAAAATCATTTACAAGTCTACCAGATCCAAAAGAATATGACTTTATCTCCACTGAATTTAGAGACCACCTCAAGAAGAGATATAGTGTGTTGAACACCAATGAATAAAAATTAGGTGAGTTGCGGGATGATATCAAGAACATCATACACGAATAAAGCAAAAGAAATCGAAAAACACTGGCGGGAAAAAAGAAAAGTCCGAAGTAGATTTAAGAAGAAATCTTGCTCAAAAACACAGAGTAGCTAAAGCAAATGGGAAAATGAAGTGAAAGACCCCAATAGAACAGTTTCAAGGGTAGCTCCAGAAGAGAAAATGCTGCATGATAATGAAATTTGCGGAGCTCTAGAGCAAGAAAACAAAAAGAGTAGGATTCACTTAGCATATCTCAAGTTGAAAGAAGTAAAGATAAAAAGTCAAGCCTAAGTTGCAACACTGAAAGATCCCACAGGAAAAGCACTGAATGATAAAGAGAGCATCAAAAGAGGATGGAAGGAATACATTGAATCAAGGTATCAAAATGAATGTCTGGACATTCAACCATTTCAAGAAGTAGCACACAATCAACAATTATTGGTATGGAAAGAAGTTCAATCTACATTGAAAATATTAGTAAAAAGCAAGGCTCCAGAAATTAATAGGATACTAAGTGAACTATGTCAAGAAGCTGATGGGCACACGCACTGACTGACTAGTCTATGTCAAAAAATTTGGAAGATCTTCACTGAGATGGATTGACAATGTAGCTGCAACTATGTGTATACACATAACCATTGTGAGGATGACGCAGGATCAGGCAGTATTTTGTTTTATGTGGATCACCATGAGTCAGAACTGATTTGATGACATCGAACAACGACATGGTATTTTCAACTTTCACATGCACGTGAAAGTTGGACATTGAACAGAGAAGACCAAAGAAGAATTGATGCATTTGAATCATGGTGTTGGCAAAAAAATATTGAAAGTACTATATACTCCCAAAAGAACAGATCAGTGTTAGAAGAAGTACAGCGAGAACGGC